TCTTTTGTCTTGAGGGCATTTGGCTTAAAAGCATTTCCATTAGAAGAAATGGAACTGCAGCTGTTATTCTCTAATAATACTTTCTTCACCTGCGGTATTTTTCATGAATACTTCAAAAATCTTGCAGGCTCTGAAACTTTTTGTCAGATGGTTGTTTTTTAAAAGGGAAGGTGGATCATGAAGGTCTCTGGGTTTATCTGTTCGTCTTTGGGTTGACAATGCTTTCATGGATCACAACAACCAGAGATAATGAGAAGGAAATATGTTTTTTTCAAATGAAAAGGAAGTATTTCAAATCTAAATTTGAAAGAGTAGTATTTGTGATCATGAAGAAGGTCTCTGGATTTATCTGTTCGTCTTTGGGTTGGCAATGCTTTCATGGATCACAACAACCAGAGATAACGAGAAGGAAATACGTTTCCTAAAAATCAAAAGGAAGTATTCCAAATCTGAATTTGAAAGAGAAATATTTGTTTCCTGTAGGAGAATTCAATGTCAAACCAATAAATCACCATACACTGATTGAAGCGAGTTCAACAGACAAAACACAACATGTTAGAACTCCTTTAAAGAAAATTTTTAAAGTTGAACTTAGAAATCTTTCGGTAATTGAAAATGACTTGCCCGTATTATCTCTTAATAGAGATAACATGGTATGACACTACTCATGATTAACTCTTTCTATTCTGTGGGACTTCTAAATAACAATGCAATATATATATATATATATATATATATATTGGTATTTATAGTTAAAATGTTCTTGGTTTAACCTTCTTATATTTCAAAATTAATTCCTTCCCAAATGATCTAAATGGTACTTCCTCTCTTAAAATTGTACCCCTATATCAGTCTATTATATTCAAAGGTATTTAAAAAAAAATTAAATTTTTTTGGATACTGATTTTAAGAGTGATTCCTTTGAAACTATGTGGATATTGTGGATGTATCAATTTCGATCTTGATTGGAATGGTCACTGAGTTTGATGATAACCAAAGATGTAGAAAATGATCATTGTTTGTCCAACGGCAGATTCTCCGGCAGCAATGAACTAACAGTCTAAGAATCCTTTATTTCAAAGTTCCGAATAATAAAGCTACCGGTCAAATAAAAATAAAACTAAGCCACAGAGTGCTTGCCGATGTAATATCCAAGATTGAAAATAGTACGAAGTAAACAAATAGAGATGGCAATGGGTCCCATGGGACACGGACCCTTCCCCATCCTCATTTTCGTCAATGGCAGGTACGGGGATTCTCATGAGTATTTTTGGCAGGATAGGTTCTTGCGAGTATTCGGAATTTTTACCAAATAAAACTATTACTTGATCTGTTACTTGTTAATCAAAATTAAACTCAACATGGGTCTGCTTAGACTCCACTAGTTTCCACATTCATAAAATAAAACTAACTCAAATAATCATATAAAGTAAAAATTTGAAACAAGACAAACGAGCAGTAAATATACATAGTCAATATATACATGTCAAGTAAGTTAGCAACAAGTTCATAAAGAAAAAAGGCATAAACTACCATATAAGTCCAACAAATCCAACAAAATGTTCATAAAAAAAAAGGCATAAACTGCAACTGTCATCAACAAAGTTCATAGAAAAAAAATGCATAAACTACTACTATACATGACTAGCAATAAGTTCATTAAGAAAAAAGGCATAAAAGAGATGAGTTACCAGCAACTGGTTGAGAGATTAGAAAAGAGCTGTCGAGTCAAGTGTGAGTGAGAGATGGGAGAAAGATCAGCGTTGCAATGGTTGCACAATGGGTAGTGACGGTGAGAGCTTGAAGGGAATCACAAATGAGGATTGAGAAGCAAAAACAGAGTTACAGCGCAGAGGAGACTGGAGAAGAGGAATCACAAATCTGAAATTGAAATCTTCATATAGTCTTTCTAGGGTTATCAATGCAAATTGGACTGGGCAATTAGGTTTGACAAAAACCAACATTTAGCCCCTCACCTTATAAAGTTGGTAGGTTTTAGGTGTTGATTCAATGTACTCCAAGAGGGGTGGTGAATTGAAGTTCCAAAAATTCTCCCTTTTTTGCAACCACAAAACCAAAAATAAAGAGAGTAGAGAAGAAGAACTTGCTCAATGATTTTATAGAGGTTTGGTCAAACCACTTGAAACCTAGTCCTCTACCTTGGCTTCACTCACTAAGGATTTCCTCCACACTCTTCACTAATAACAACAAGGGTGGCTTAAAGTAGCCACTCAATCTTTTTACAAGAAGAATGGTGTTTCTCTCAAATCTCACCCGTTTACACTTAAACCCCAAGAATCCTCTCTACAAATCACTCTTGAAAGATTAATCACACCCCCAAGATCACTCACAAATAGAAGAAAAAGAGGATTACAAATAAAGATCTCTCAAATATCAAAATCTCAAATTAAAGCACAAGTTGGTAGATAAAGATATTCAATACAATACTCTCTAAACTTCTTCAAATTTGTTACCAACCATATTTATAGCCCTTTGCTCGAAAATAGTCGTTTATAACCGTTGGGGGTCATTAAATGCTTTGCAGAACACAAAGCTCGAGTTGCAGAATTGTCAGGAGAGTCGGCTTAACTTCTTAGAGTCGGCTCTATACAGCCAGCTTACCATTTCTACAGCTGGTTTTGCGGGATTCCTGCATTTTGTTTTTTTCGTAGAGCCAACTTAAAAATTCTGCAGCCGACTTTGCAGGTTTCCGACACATTCTGTTTTTTTTCACAACCGACTACAAAGCCTAGAGCCGGCTTTGGGATTTCAACTTTAAACACATAAAATAATCTTCAAATAACTCAACCGTTGTGCATTAAATGCACCCTCACAGCCAACTACAAAGTTGGAGCCGGCTTTGCATCTTTTCCCCGTGCGCGCCAAACAACTTGCTTTTAACTTTTTACCCGTAGAGCCGGTTGCAGCTTCTAGAGTCAGCTCTCTACATTTCCATTTCACCAGAGCCGGTTGCAACTTTCAAGAGCCACCTCTCTGCACATACTCAAACCTTTCTGGTCCATTTTTTAGTGCAGTTCAAGTTTACTTATTTTGCAATCTTTTGACATTTTAACTACATACTTAAATGAACCAATTAGTCACTCAAATGTGTTTTGTAATCATCAAAATCATGGGTACAACATTAGCCCCTCACCTTATAACATGATAGTTTTAGCCCTTTATTTTACAAAGTTGGTAAGTTTTAACCCCTCACCTTACAAAATTGGTAGGTTTTAATCCCTTACCTTATATTATGATATTTTTAACCCTTTACTAATACAAATTAAAGAAAATAAACCTCACCTAACATCAAGTTATAACGTTTTGTTAGTTACATTAGTTAACTGTTAACATCCGTTAATATTCCGTTATAAAAAATATAAAATTTAAATTCAATTTTATTTGTTAGTTCTATTAACGAAATGCTAACGGATGCTAACAGTCAGCTAACAGAACTGACAGTCAGTTAACAGAACTAATAGAACATTACAACCTTATGTTAAATAAAAGTTATTTTTTTCAATTTGTATAGATAAAGGGCTAAAAGTGTTATAATATAAGGTGAAATGTTAAAACCTACTAACTTTGTAAGGTGAGGAGTTAAAACCTACCAACTTTGTAATATAAAAGGTTAAAAGTGTCATATTATAAAATTAGGGGTTAAAACTTATTAATTTTGTAAGGTGAGGGGCTAAATGTTAGTTTTAGCCATTAGGTTTAGGTAGGCTTAGATTGACAAAAATAACGGGTTGGCCTTGACAATTGGGTTTGAAAAAATTGAAAAAAGAATGGATTATGAAATTTAGATTGTATTGGTATTGGGTTAATTAATTGTTAACATATTTATAAAAATATATATAAATAAATTTTTTTTTATTTTATATGAATCCCCATGGTCTTCATGGAGTGAAGTAAATTTCTCGCAAAATTTAACGAGAAAAAAAATACCTTCATCCCCACCTCAGAAGAAAGAATATTCTTAAAATCTCCATCCCTATAACAGGGATCTCCGCAAAACTCCACGGGTCGTTGAGGAAATTGCCATTCCTATAAACAAACATGGCCTCACTGCAAGATCCCTTCGCAGTAAATGATTGGACTATAATATATAGTAGTGTAACCAAAGTTGTCAAAATCGAGATTTTACCTAAAATCGTTTTGACTAGATGAAATCGGAATCATAAAATCAAATCGGTAAAATCGAGATTTTACAAAATTTAATATATAATATATAATAAATTATATAAAATCAAAATTAAATAACAATAAATCAAATTTAGAGTTAGAAACTTGAAATTAGCTAATTAAAATTTAAATATCCAACAACACAAATAAATTAAACGAAGAAGATGACTTAAATTTAGAATTTTAGATGGTTAAATCAAATTTGTACCGAATTCTCGATTAAAATGTTGATTTGTGATTGGGTTGTGTGGGTTGTGAGTTATTAAAATGAAAAATGAGCTTAATTTATGGGTTATTTAGTCAAAACTCACTAACCCAAGATGAGAAGCCAAAAGGAAATAGGTTAAAAGTCCAGTTGCCAAACAGAAGCTAAAATCGAGATTTTACCTGATTTCACTTGATTTCACGGTAAAATCTAGATTTTACCGTGAAATCCCCAGATTTTATGAATTTCAAATTTTAGTATAGATTTTACACGAAATGTTTTGCTGAAATCGTAAAATCGTAAAATTTTAAGATTTAAATCTAGATTTTGACAACAATGAGTGTAACTGCTTGAAACAAAAAATAGCAAACAAAAAAGAGTGTATATAAATTATGCTTTAAGAATCAAATGTATGTTGTGAGGAGTCTTAAAGTTGTGGAAGCAACCACGGGGAAGCGACCACATATCTTGGTTGTACCATACCCAGCATAAGTCCATGTTGCCCCTCTGATGAAGCTGTCAGTCCAAATTGCTGCTTATGGAATCAAGGTTACATTTGTTAACACACAGTTCATTCATGCACAAGTCCAAGCTGCACAACCTGAGGAGCAGAATCATATAACGCTAGTTTCAATTCTAGATGGCCTAGAATCCGAATATGATCGAAAAAATGAAGCTAAGGTGATAGAGACAACAGTGAAATCTATGCTAAGTTTAAATTGAGCAATTGATTGAGAACATTAATCAGTCAAGAGATGATGAGCATATTAGATGTGTTGTTGCTGATTTAACCATTGCCTAGCCATTGGAAGCTTCTAAGATGATGGGAATTGCGAGTGTTGCAGCTTGGCCAGCAGGACCAGGAACAGCTTGCATTCGGATTTCATTCTACAATGCTTATTGAGGATGGAATACTAGACACAGATGGCAAGAGAAAACTAGGATCTACAGTAGTTCATCTTATATTGACAAGAATATCAACAAAACTAGTTGAACATTTTTGTAGGAAATAGTAAAAGTTGCGAGTCAATCCAACTGTCAGAGGATATGCCGGCTTGGAAACATAATGAGCTTGGATGGAGCTTCCCAGGTAAACCTCAGTTGCAGAAGTTTTTCTTTAGGCGTGGTTGTGAAGACATCGGAATACTCAAGAATTCAGGTTGGCTTCTTTGCAACACATTTTATGAACTTGATCCACCTGGTTGTAATTTGATTCCAAGTATCTTATCTAATGGTCCATTACTACCAAGCACTCATGTGACCCCTTTGGCTGGAAGGTTGAATCCTGAAGACTCAACTTGGTTAGATTGGCTTGACAAACAAGTCGCAGGGTCAGTTGTCTATGATGCATTTGGAAGCACAGCAAAATTAAGCCAACTACAATTAGAGGAACTAGCCATTGGCCTTGAACTCACAGGAAATCATTTTCTGTGGGCTGCTCGATCAGATTTTGTGAATGGAATGAATTCTAAGTTTATGTAGGAGTTCACAGACAGGATGGCCAACTGCGGGAAAATTGTCATCTGGGCACCCCAGGAGAAACTGTTAACACACCATTCTGTTGCTTGTTTCTTAAGCCACTATGGATGGAATTCTACCATGGAAGGTCTTAGCATGGTAGTCCCCTTCCTCTGTTGGCCTTACTTTGCAGATCAGTTCCACAATAAGTGTTACATTTGCGAAACCTGGAAAATTGATTTGGGTTTAGAGAAAGCTGAAAATGGGATCATAACAAGGCATGAAATAAATCCGAAAATAAATGCATTGCTCTGCAGTGAGTATATATAAAGGCAAATGTGATGCATTTGAAGGAAACTGCTAAAAAGAGTAAGAGTCCAGGTGGATCTTCTTTCAACAATTTTGAAAGGTTTATGAAGCACTTGAAGCAGCTTGATGCATAGTTCTTGTCATCTTCCAAGCTCAAGTGATTGGCAAATAAAAAGAAGAAGAACCAAAAAAAACTTGGATATGTAATATTACAGATTTTCCTGATTTCTTTTTCAACTTTTGTAAAAGTAAGTTCTATCAATGGACTTACATTTATGTCGAGAAAATTTCCATTTTTTCTGTTTTTTAAATGGAAGCCTGGACAATGGATTTTCATGTAGAAATGTCAAGTAAGAGTCACACTGACAGAGGAACCTTTATGTCATAGTTTGAAACAATTCTGAGCGATTTCTTAATTGCATTTGAATGTTTCAGGCATTATGTGCAAATATTTGACTCGTTTGAAAGGTCTGTCAGCCTCAGTCGCAACAACTTATTAGCCTGCTGCTCCAATGTGGCCTGCACCACTACACAGTTAGATGATACAAAGAAAACTGCTACCTTAACAAATCTCACGTTCTTGTCATGGCAAAAGTCGTTTCTAGTAATGGAAGTGGCAAAGGTTGATCAGGGACCAGTTATTCTTGTTATAATGTCAAGAGGAGGTTTTGACAATGCTGTTGCCAAGAATGACAGTAATAAGATCGTAACTGTACTTTAGGTTGCCTACCTGGGATATAGTCATATCAGCCAGTGATGCTGCCATTGCAGAAGTTATTTTTGGCTATTATAATCCATTTTAAGTCATTCACAGTCCTTATCATGGGAATTCGATTCATTGATTATGATTGTTTTAAATGTCAAAGACTGCCAACCACCTGGTATCCATAATCATATGCAGAGAAGTTTCAATCCACGGCATGGCATGAAAAAGAGACCAGAAGGAATGGTTATCATGGTAGAGGACTTGATTTTATACCAAGGATATTGTCTACACCTTTTGGAATATGGATTGAGCTACACAAAATTCAACCATCAATTGGTTAAGGCATCAGAATTGATATCAATCCTCTTGGAAAAAAATCATGTTTGTCGGTCATCTAAATGCAAACCTACTGACACTTCTAATTAGTTGGCTTCCATTGAATAGATTCATACAACCACCCATCAGATTTCATTATTATTTGGAAATCACAGAAATCGCAGTATAGGCTCAACTATCTCATTAAGAACAAGCCATGTTAGAATCAAGTGGCTTGAATGGGAAAGAAGTATCCCAAGCATAAGTGAAATTGAAGTAGAAAATGGAGCTATAGAATTCCCATAATTAACTAGACATTCCCCCCCACAAATTTTGCCAAGATAAATTGATCAATTTATTGGATTATAGGGACAAGCAATTTCTTAAGAAAATGTGTAAATAAATATATTAATTTTATTTTTTTTATTTAAGAATATTAATTTTATTAATTTTAAAATAAAAATATTAATTAAAAAATTTTTTATTTACAAAAATTAACTTTAAACTTTTTCTATTTAAAGATATCAATTTTAAATTTTTTTATTTAAGGATTAATTAAATGATAATATTAATGTAATAAATAAATTTTTTAACTAAAATATTAAAAATTGATATTTTTAAATAAAAAAATAAGAGTTGAAATTTTTAAATAAAATTAATATTTTTAAATATAAAATATAAAATTAACATTTTCAAATAAAAAAATATAAAATTAATATTTTTATTTACATATTTTATCATGATTTACTTTATGGAATCTATTTCCCACTGGCCACTGGATGGTATCGGTGCTTGACAGCCTAATTTGTCGAGGCCCAATGGATGAGGAATCCGAAGATGGCTTTGCAAAGGCCCTTAGGCTCACGTGCACCACACGGGGTTCGGTGCCAAGGTTAAGGGACTTGTGTTGTGCCACGCTCATAAATTACAGCTTTTGGCGTAAGTCGTCGCACTCAATTTCAGACAAATAGTACTAGAGCGAGGGTACAACTTCAAGTCTCCCTGAATGTTTCGAGGGGATGATGAGATTCGATATTGGCTCATGAGGTCTTGATTTTGATTAATTTATTCTTAATTTTAACAATTTTGATTTAATTGGGGGAAAAATCATAAATGATTTTTGAAGTTGGTATTTATTTTTGAGGTGGGCACTTGTTGGATTATCGGGTGCAGTGATCTCCTTAGAGACTCGTCGTCGGCCGACAAACTACTAAGTCTTGTTTTCGGTGAATTTAAATTATATATAAATGTAAGATTTATCCTTAATTTTAACATTTTTTATTTTAACAATCTTGATTTAATTGGAGGAAAACCGATAAATAATTTATGAAATTGGTATTTATTTTTGAGATAGGTAGTTGTTGCCTTGTTGGATTATAGAGTCCAGCAATCTCCCTATGGACTTGCTATCGGCCCACTAAATCTTGATTTTAATGAATTCAAATCTCATAAGAATAAAAAATTTATTCTTGATTTTAACAATTTTGATTTAATTAAAGAAAAATCATAAATATTTTTTGGGATTAGTATTTATTTTTCTTTTAGTACTATTTAAATATATTTAATTTGAAGAAATTGAAAAAAGAGAAGAAGAATATAGATTTCTTAAATGAGTTGTTAACAAGAAAATTACAGAGGAAGAAAGGGGAGGGAAGAAGCTTTCTTACCCTCTTTTCCTCTCAAGAAATCTGTATTTAGATCCTCCACTAGTTAGTAGCTTTAATGGCCAAATTAAATTGATGAATAAAAAAAAAAAAGTAGTATTAAATAAATTTATATTTTTTTTTGTTGTTAGTGATTAAATCCGTCTTAAAGAAACTATTAAATTTTTTATTGATTATTTTAATTTTTATTAATTAAAAAATTTATAAAAATTTAAAATTTAAAATAAAAAAATTACAATTATACTAAATAAAGGAAAAACTTATAGATCGATTTTCGGTTTCCCGTACGGTCAGCCAACCATTTGCCCATCACTTAACCTCAAATTCCCGACGGAAAACTGGAAACCAGCTGGGGCCCCACGTGCATGCGTATTTAATAATAAGAGGCTTACACGTGTCCCCGACACATTGAGCTGTCTCTGTCGCGTAAAGCCACCCGGCCAGCACGGCGGGACCCAAGCTTTTGTACCACCGCGCTCTTTTCTCGCCACGTGTCGTCCCTAAACTAGATTCCGGTATCTAAGCGCGTTTAGACTCCTACACGCTCCCCGCCCCTCCAGCCGAACTCCGGAATCTCGAAAATTCTAAAAAATTTTCTTTAGAAAAGAAAAAGGAAACAAATAATATATTTTTTGGTTTAGTTTTTGCTTTCTTCCTCTCCAATTTTCGAATATCTTTTTTGGGATTTTGGGCTTTGATTTCCTTCTCGATTTCGGTATTAGGGTTCTCGTCTTTGATTCTGTCGATCTCTTTCGCGGTGGGGCAGATCTCCAGTGGCCACTGTAAGTCTCTGATCTCGTTTCTGTTGCTTTATACTTTGTTCGCGGAGTGATTTCGTTTGCGATTTGTTTTTATTTATTATTTTTTTTATTTTTTATTTTTTTATTTTTTCGTGTTTGGTTGATGAGAAAATGGAGGAAGCGCGGAGGAAGAGCGTTTTCTGTTTCTGATTTTACGTTTGTTCCTAAAAAGGGGAAATTTTGGGGTTTTGCTGGTTAGAGCTTTGTGTTGAGCTCTATTCAGAATGAAGCTATCTGCATTTTTTTGATTTGCATAAGCAAGAACTTGCAATTTTTGTTTTTTCTTTTCGGTTTTTGTTGCCTGCTGTAAGGTACATTGTATGCGATTAAAGGGATCAATCCTCTTGTATTTTCGCATGTTTGTATATCACAAAATCGAATTGAAAGTTCAGCTGTAATGTTAGCAATATGGAATAAATTCTTTTCAATTAGCTTGCTGTTTCTATGTGTAACCTTTACTTCTTACAGGTGTTGAAACCTTTTGCGCTAGTCGAGTCTGGGTTGTGTCATTACAAAGTGTTCAGACTATCAAGTAGGGAAGGATGAAGAGTAGGAGATGCACGTGGACTTAGTATTCCTAAATTTCTAGACATTTATGAGAAGGAAAAAGTACTAGAAAGGACAGTTGTAGCTACTGCAGGGGAGGGAAAAGAAGTGAAAGGAATGAGTTGGTCTAAGAAGCCTGAATGCGGATTTTAATGTAAAGTGGCAGGTTTTTGTTTTTGGTAAGAGGTTTACATAGTAATTTAGTCTCTTACATGGACCAAAACTGGAAGTTGTTTCAGTAATTAGGTAGTCTAGTTCATGCTAGCGCTTACAGAATGCCATAAGATATATCTTGAAGAATGGATGATGACAATGTTTTATTTTCTGGTTGGAATGACAAGAGTGCAGCTGAAATGGCTGAATCACATCTTTTCATTCTCTCTTGTGTTATTGCCGGACTTGTTGGTCTGTTAACTATAGCCTATACAGCCTTCCAATGGAGGAGAAATATTAATTTAAGTTGGATGAAAGCAGTGGCCAGGTCAAAGAAAAGCCCAAAGGCCAGGCATAAGGCTCCTATAGCTGGTCATACTTGGGTTCTGGAATCTGTGTCCCGTCGAAAAAACTTGAGTTGCTGTGTGTGCTTAAAGTCAATGTCTCCTTCCCAAACCCTTGGGCCAATGGTTGCTTCAGACAGTTTTATTCAGCGTTGTAGCATTTGTGGTGCAGCAGCTCACTTGAGCTGCTGTTCAAAAGCACAGAAGGATTGCAAGTGTGTATCTATGATTGGATATGAGCATGTGATGCACCAATGGGCAGTTAGATGGACAGAGCTTGCTGATCAACCTGATGAAGCTTCTTTTTGTAGCTACTGTGAAGAACCATGTACTGCATCTTTTCTTGGTGGATCACCTATATGGTGTTGCTTGTGGTGCCATCGTGTTCTACATGTGGACTGTCATGGTAGTATGTCCAATGAAACAGGTGATATTTGTGATTTAGGCTCACTCAGAAGGTTGATTCTTTCACCTCTTTGTGTAAAGGAACTAAACCGTAATTCAGCTGGCAGATTTCTGAGCTCAATTACACATGGAGCAAATGAGATTGCTTCTTCAGTACGTGCAAGCATTAGGCCTCAGGGCAAGAAGTACAAGCATGATAATGAACCCTCATTCGACACAGATATTTGTGGTAGCACCTGTGATACATCCACAGACAGCACGGCTGAGACGTCTCAAACTGTTAATGGTCCTCATCCTATCGAAGAAAGCTGTAATGGTAGAATGAATGGGATTAGTCCACAACAAGATGGTGATGTTGATAAGAAACTGGATTCCAAGCCTAGTCTCAAAAGAAGTGGGTCAATTAATCAGAAGGATGAATCTCAAATACTAGGAATGAAACAAAGATATGAGTTGATTGACTTGCCAACAGATGCAAGACCTTTGTTAGTTTTCATCAACAATAAGAGTGGGGCACAACGTGGAGATTCCCTCAGACAACGTTTAAACCTTCTTTTGAATCCTGTCCAGGTTTGCTTAATCTAATAGTCTTCCTTGCGGTTTTCTTTATGTCCTTATTTTCTTATTTGACCTTCATATTCTCCTTGGTTTTTCTGATCATCTACAGCATAAAAAAAATTGAATTATTGTTGGGGAACTGGCAGGATTCAAGTAACATGTCGATGATTTTGAACTGTTCAATGTAGCTTTATCTGAAAGCTAGAGGAATCTCATTAATTTAAAAAAAAAAATGATAGATTATGCTAGCTAAGCCAATAAATGAATCTGGATTTAATTCAGTATGTGACAAATTGCATTTTCTTTCTATAAAAGAATCACAAATTTTCAATCGTAGTAAAAGCATTCATTGTATTTTCAGTTTGTTTGTTAGATAATGGCATTGCTGATTAAACTGCTTTTTTTAGTTACTCTGTTAGATAAAAGATGAGATGGCTCATGTACAGAATGAAAGATTTATGAAGACTTTCTTGCATGCTGTTGTTAACCCTCCTGGATTCTTAGCTTGCCTTATCAGAGATGAAAGTGTTATATTACTTTCAGTAATATTTAGAGCATGTTTGGTGAAGCTTGTAAGTGCTTCAGCTTTTTGACACTATTCATGTTTCCTAAATTTAAATTTCCCTCTTAAAAACTTACATTTTTTAACTTCTTTTTAACCTTAAAAAGACTTTAAACTGTGAATTTTGAAAAGCTTTAAACTTTTGCTTTTTATAAACTTCCTTTTTACTCACTTCTTACTCACTTTTTATTATTTCTAAAAACAACTCTTAAATTTTCTCTCCAATAAAAATTTAAACTTATGACTCATAAACAGTGCTAAAAAAGTAAAAGCTCCAAGAAGCTCCACCAAACAGGCCCTTAGCTTGGTCCCAAGTTTCACATAATCTATGGAGCACATCGTAACTTGAAGTATCTTGTAGTTGTCCTAGGGCACGAAACAAACAGGCACATATGTAACAATAAGAAAATGTAGCAAAGTTTATCAAAGATTTGAACTCTTTTACAATTTACATGATTAATTTGATTCTATTTATAATTAAACCTTGGTTTTGTAGTTTTTGTTTTATAAATATATATAAGGATAGTGTGAGGCAGGTCATCCTCCTAAAATTTCTTTTGGAGGACCTATCTAAAAACCTACTTTCTAATTAATATTTTCAAAAACCAACCAATGGATTGAAAGCTCTATTCATGTAGATCTTGTATGTCAATTTTTATATTATTCTAACACTTATAACCCTTTGATCAAAGGAACTCTATTAATTAACATATATTTAATGGCGTTGAATTTATTATAATCAATGAAGTGGTTAGGCATATTAGAGCAATTTGAAAATTGGTATGCATGATCTATATGGATATAACTTTCAATATAACGCTTGGTTTTTAAAAATATTAGTTAGAAAATGAGTTTTTAAACATGTCTTTCAAAAAAAAATTTTTTGAAGGACAACCTGCAAAACACTTTTCCCTATATATATATATATATATTTCAATTTAATGTTTTGCAGTCATTTTAACTAGCTTTTGGTTCAGGTATTTGAGTTGAGTCCAACACAGGGACCAGAGGTTGGTCTTTTTTTATTCCGAAAGGTGCCTCACTTCAGAGTTCTTGTATGTGGAGGAGATGGTACTGTTGGCTGGGTTCTTAATGCAATAGAAAAGCAAAATTTTGTTTCTCCTCCTCCAGTTGCTATCCTTCCTGCTGGCACTGGAAATGATCTGGCTAGAGTACTGTCCTGGGGTGGTGGTTTGGGCTCAGTGGAGAAACAAGGAGGCCTTTCAACTGTCTTGCACCACATAGAGCATGCTGCAGTGACTATTCTTGACCGCTGGAAAATAAACATCCTTAATCAAGAGGGGAAGCAACTTCAGTCACCACAATTTATGAACAACTATCTTGGTATGTGGAAATTCTTCAGATTTCTCAGAAAGAAAATTATAACAGATTGCAGGAAGTTTTAGGGCCAGAAAACAAGGTTGATTTTTAACATATTGTACACTTTTATGTCTTCTAGCCAAGTTGGATACACTGGCTATCCACTCAAGTTCTAGCTCTCTCAATTTTCAATTTCTAATATTACATAATTATATTAGCATGAGTTGCAACTTGTTTTACATTAATAGAGATTAAAGAAGAGGCATATATGTTAGTTTGCCATTTACATGAAATCTCCTATTTTTTTGGTTTATCATAGGGTATCACCTTGCATTTACCTATGGTCCTGTAATTGTGAACTTAAATTTGTTGATATCCTAAACTAACAAATTTTTATTGCTAAAAGAAACAGTGAGAGCTCTGAATTGATGGGGCATTTTCTATTTTTCTTGCATTTTTTGTTAACATTTCTTTTTTCTTAATTTTCTTGCTGTAAGCCCATTATGTTTCTTGATATCTCATGCATTATAAAATATTGATCTTGATCATTCTTTTACAGGCGTTGGTTGTGATGCAAAGGTTGCTTTGGACATTCACAATTTAAGGGAGGAGAATCCTGAGAAGTTTTACAATCAGGTATGACAGACTCCTTTTGTGAACTGCTTCACAAAATTAACAATAAAAAACAGTGGTTATCATGAATTTTGAGCTTTAGACGACAGAGAAAATGAAGCAGGAAATTTGATATAATTGCATAGGATCTCCAATGGGTTGGGAGGCAGGGGGTGGAGGGTAAGGAGCTTACTTTTCTATTACTCAGTCCCCAGATCTGAGATAGTTGACTTCCTGTGGTTTTATTTCTGATTGCTGAACCTTGAAATTTTTTTAGGGTTTCTGTTCAAGAGAAAAAAAAAAAAAAAAAGGATTGCAAGAGAAGATAGTTTCCTGAGCAATAATTTTAGCTTGTTTGGTTCTAATAATCTGACATTGTGAATAGAATTTTGGTTTCAGTAACTTAAACTATGCCTTTTCTTAATTCATGCCATCTGAAGTTGTATGTTTTCATATGCAATCTCCTCTTTTTAACCCCTTTATTCTTATTGGGTTGGTGGAAATTTTGTTACTTTTCACTATTGAAATTTAATGGTACATGTTGTTTGGTACATACTAAAAAGTTGGAGGAACTGTGGTGGGGAAGTTCATCAGATAGGGGATAAAACCAGAACTGCTTTGATAAATATTTCCAAATGCCAAATCATGTTGAGTGATCTGTATATAACTGGGATGTTCACACTATATGTTTAATTTCTTTATCTTCTGACGATCATATTTTATTTTATTTACTGATCTAATTCCTTTTTACTGAAATAACATAAATGCAAGTGCAGTTCATGAACAAAGTTCTTTATGCAAGAGAAGGTGCCAAGAGTATAATGGATAGGACATTTGCAGATTTATTTTGGCAAGTTAGAGTGGAGGTAGATGGTACTGAGATAGAGCTGCCGGAGGTGAGTACTACAATGGTTTCTGTCATCTGGGCATAAGAGATACTTTATGTTCCGTGGGAATCATGCCATACTGGTTGAGTATGGATGTCTTGTTGCTGCATAAATTGTTGATGTGAATTTCTTTTGTTTGTTTCTTTTTCTTTTTATTTGGGGGTGATGGTGGTGGTTAAGTCTCTATCTCTTTTCTGCTATTTAGCTTCCTCTTTGATTGTTCAATGTCTATTTAGAGCCATTCTGCTTCCATTTTTTTCTCCCTTTTTTTTTTAATCTTTAATACTTTATCAGATTTTTTGGTTGTAAAAAAGTTATTTATTTCTCTTGACTGGAAGATTATTTAATAATTTCTGAACTTTTTTCATTAAGTTTGTTCAATCCACTGTTTCTGTTTCCTGTTGGGAAGTTTCTATATATTTGTTTATGCAATGAGCTGAATAATCAAATTGTAACAAATATCTATTTTATCGTTTTTGCTGTCAATTTATGTTATTGTTCCTAAACCATGCAGGATGCAGAAGGGGTACTTGTGGCAAACATTGGAAGCTACATGGGTGGTGTAGATCTGTGGCAAAATGAAGATGAAACATATGATAATTTTTATCCACAGTCTATGCATGATAAGATTCTAGAGGTTGTGAGCATTTCTGGCACGTGGCACCTTGGAAAGCTTCAGGTAATGTAGTCCACTAGCTGATTTTGTTTAGATGTTTTATTTGAAAATACTGGAAGGTTTTGAAATACAAAAAGGTCCTCGATCAAATTTTTTTATCATGCCTGAAAAACACTTGTTCTTGTGATAAATTATACAGATCTAAAATGCATCTTTTAAAGCACAAATGTAGTAATTCATCAACCATTATCTGTGATTGTCTTGATAATTGATATATATATATATATTCTAAAACTGAGGTTTTTTTTTTTTCATCCCGTACTTTGGATGGATAATGGTATTAAAATGTTCTTGATCTGCTGTATTGTGTGAGGACAGGTGGGGCTTTCTCGTGCTCGAAGACTTGCACAGGGACAGTTAATTAAGATACAGCTTTTTGCCCCCTTTCCTGTTCAAATTGATGGGGAACCTTGGTTTCAGCAACCTTGTACATTGGTCATATCGCATCATGGGCAGGTCCTCTCTCTCTTAAATTGCTATCTTAAACATCTGTAATATTACCACCAAGAACTTCAAAGTCGGGAGTTTTGTTACGGGTGTTTCTAATGTCATAGGTTAAGGGTGCAATAAATGTAACTTGTAGCATAAATTTATATGGAAAAATACAAAAGCTGATGTTAATTTTAGTACCAATGCTACATGGATGAATTTAATTGTACAGTTAATAAATTGAAGGTCAATTTATATTTTTCAATACAAATTTATGGCCAAAAAATATATTTATTGTATCCTTAACTTGTCTCCTTGAAAAACTGTTTTGTTATTACTTAGTGAGTCCACACGCATGCGTTTATGGTTCAGCACCAACCCCCTTGTAAACTAATGCAACTGTGTTTTATTTTATTCTAACATAAATGTTTGGCTTGGGCAGGCCTTCATGTTGAAGAGGGCATCTGAGGAACCTCTAGGCCATGCAGCTGCCATAATAGCTGATGTCCTTGAGAATGCTGAGACGAACCATGTCATTAATACTTCACAGAAGCGTGCTCTTCTTCAAGAAATGGCACTGAGGCTGACTTGAAGGTTTTATTTTAGCAAGTCCAGTTAGCAACTAGAGTTTTGTTCTGAAATTTTTCTTTAGTTTAATATTTGCTTGTTCCTTTACTCCAGTGTCGTGTCACGGCTTCAGCAGATTAAGCATCTTTGTATACAAACACTACTCAAAAATTTAATACAAGGGCCCTCAGAAAAGTGTTATGAGGGAGTGGAATTTTGAAGATTTTGTATTCAAAATTAGTGATTGTGATTAAGGAAATGGTAAAGCCTTTTGCTTTTGATTCCATTCGGATCTGTACAAACTATCAAGAATTGAGTTTCATACGTGTTTGCCATGAAAACTACAGTTCGCACAGCTAATGGTAGCCTGAGAATTCTCTGTAATTTTTTTCTACTTGATGATGCGTATGATCAGGTAAGGTGCTTGTCACCAAATTGCATGAGATGAGGTTGAACCTAATATTTCTGTACGCTGCTCAACCATGTTGTGAGCTTTCAGCTCTAACTTTCTTCTTATTCTTAAGAACCCCATGTTTGACCTTCTTCCAAAGTCTGGCTACAATTCCTCCAGTAACTATCTCTGTTTCCTTTGTTCTTGCCTTTCTGTTTCCAGTTGTGCTGGTCACCTGAGGATATGAAACTTTCTTTGTTGCATTTGCATTTTCCTTTCTGATGTGATCTAAACGTTGAGAATACAAAGGAGATTGTAGGTACCGGATGTAAGTAGGTGAGGAGGCAAGGGACATCTGCATCGCCTTGTTGAGCTGGCAAGTCACAGCCTGGAGTTCAAATGAGTCATAGAGGGTGCTGCCGTTGTGCCGCGGGCTCATCTTCAAGAAAAGGTTCAAGGGCTGGAAATCAGCAGATGGTCGAGAGGCCATTGGTGGCCCTTTCTTCATCTGAGATTCACCGGAATAAGTCAGTTCTCTGAGTCTCTCCTTAGAAGCTTCCCCCATGTTTTGACATAACTTGTGATCGTGAATTGAAGGGTTTTAATGTTTCCAGGTCTGGAATTTTGCCTCGTAATCAACGTTCTGTCACTGGTAAGTGTTTGCTCAACAAGAAACCACCTTCTTTGCTTTCTACGCTTTGTCATGTTCTCACATGGATCTAGAACAAAATTGGGGTTAATGCCTATTATGATTAATAAATTTTAGCTAAACATCAGAAACTTAGGATAGTCGGAAATCTGAAATTGGTTTCGATGAAGTTCTTCGAAAGTGACATGATATGACAGTTAATTGATTTCATTTTGGCATATAATTAAACTTCCGAACGCTAAGTCAAAGTGCAGGTACTAAGTTTCAACTTTCAACATAATTTCTCACATACGCTGGGGAAAAGAACCAATGACTTGCTAGGGTGGGAAGCCGATCTATAATCTAACCCCAGTTATTTTTACTGGAAAATTCTAACCAAAAATTTCTCCGATAATTAGGAGCATTGAGTAGTTGATAAATCTTGACTAAAGCAGCAGCCTCCCAAAGTGGTCTTGAAAAATCAGCACACAAATCATCAATGGGCTCAATAATGCAAAGTTTAAGGAAAGGGATGCAATTGTGAAGTTAGGAAACAAAAATAATACTAAAATTTTATTTAATGTGAAGACAACAATATTGTAATTATAATATTATATAAAATTATAAATTTGTAATCATTATTTATTTATTTTTTTATCTTAGTTGCACAATATAAGATAATTATCTCTCATCCTTTATCTCACTCTATCCTCATGTGATGTAACTCAAACTCAGAATCTTTTACTCTTAGTGAAAAGAGATGACCATTGAATTATTTAGATAATTGGTAATCATTATTTATTATTAAATGAAAGTGTGATATGTTATTAAATGAATAAATGTATATAATATCATAAATGAACTTTTAATTATATAATAATATATCAAGATTTTTGAGGAAACAATATTATAAATTTATAATAATACACGATATTATAATTATATCATTTTTTATGTGAAAACTATTATGAACAAGTTAAATCAAACCCAAATAAAATATTGCAAAGTACATAAGAAGACATTATCTTAACTAATCAAAATGTTTATTATTTTCATTAGACTCCACTTGTGTATTCCACTCACCAGATTTCTTTTTGATGGAAAACTTTTCTACCTCATTACTATTAGACATTTTCTCAACATATGAACTCCTACCGAAAAGTCTATAAGCTTTTGCTTAAAAAATTATGAATTTAATAAAATTGTTAAGCTAATCGTGGATTTTCAATTTTAATCGTTTTAAAATTTTTTGCTTTAGTTAACTACTTAAATAACTCAATAAAAATAAAAAATTTTAAATTTTAGTCACATAACATGCAAGGGAAGTGAAATAAAGAATGAAAGATGATTCTTTTGATTGTGCAATCAAAAAAAAAAATTCTCTGCTTTAAATCCTTAATGGAAAGGTGAGATTTGAGTTAACATCAAGAAATTATGCTTGTTAATTATAAATATATTTGGCTTTTTTCTTCGTGGTCAATGGGCTGAAACAAGAAAAGGAAATTTCAACGCTGGGGGTAATGAAAAGTTCTAGCCATCGCCAAAATTGAATGAAATCTTAGAGTTGCTTTTTCGGAAGAAATTTGACATGATGAATGTTAGTGCTTTGGTTATTTTGGCAATTTGGTGCAAGTGGTTGTGATTATCGCCACACAACATAAAACTTATATGATTCAATTTAATTTAATTAAAAAATTAATAATTAAAAAATAATTTATATTTATATATTATTTAATAAATTAAAATAATTTTATAAATTAATATTTTTAAATATTATAAATAACTATTTTAAAAAAATATAAATTAATAATAAAATATTGATTAAACTAGATAAATTACGATCCGGTGTCCTGTGATGATAAGAGTTTGGAGTGTAATGTCAATCGGACGGATCTGCATATCTGGCTAAAGATCGTTTACCAGGTTTCACGTGCTTTTTCTCAAATAACTTTTGCTGCTGCCTAGTCTTCCAACTACGTCCTATAAAATATGACTATTAAATAGGAGGAGATATTTTTAATATAAGAAAATTTATTTTATTTAATAATTTAAATTTTATTATTTAATAATTTTTTTTATTATAGGTAAAAGGAATTTCTTTATACAATATCAAAATTATATTTAATAAATCAATAATGCATCATTAATAATTACTAATTTTCTTTTTCATCTTAAATTACTATTTTTTTTTAACAAATTGTAGTTATTTACAGGGTTAATTGAGGACGAGAGAAAGGAATTACGTAAGATCCGAACGTGCAACTCACAAAAGTGAACAATCCTAAACCAGATCCAATACCACTGAGTTGGAGCGAACCGTTCACATTAAATTACTATTTAAAATGTAGGAAAACTAAAAAAAATCACACTCGTTTTTGTAATAGTAGTGCTAGATGCCAAATTATGTTGCACAAAATCATGAACGTACGAATATCTTCTTGATTGGCAAAAAATTAAAAAAGGGGAGGTGTGAATAATTAACTGTTTCCAAACAATGTGTCCCATTGCCCATAGAGAGAATATACAATCGATCAATCTGTGAGCGAAGCTGATTAACTCACGAGTGAATCGAGTTGGGTCAATTTAAGTTTTAGGTCAGCATATATAGACAAGTCATAACTTAACCCAGTAGGTTAGGTTAGGTTCGGTTTTTCAATTTTGTTAGATCTATTTGAGATAAATAAATAAATAAATATAATAAATAAATAAACTTACTTACAACCAACAATTTATTTATTCGATTGGAATGAATGTGATTCTTTTTAAATAAAATTTTGATTTCAAGTTTTGTGAATGAAAAAAACAAAAACTGAGATAGTTTTTTTTCCTTTTATAGGATTCCTAGATACCAAGGTTTTAGTGAAAAAAAAAAAATCTACTTACACTTAAATTTTACATACTACACTTACATAAAATTTTAAATATTCATTTTTTTTTTACTTTCAATAATTGAAATTTATTTACATTTATTAAAAATAATTATTTTTTTAATCTAAAATAAATATAAGGTTAATCTTTTGGATCTTGGAGCATTAGGTATTTGTTTACACCATAAATAACACATAATGCGGAGTTACCAAATCACTAAGTTGTAACTGATCTGGAACCTAAACTAGTGCAGTTCACAACCTAGACCAAAGGTGACATGGAGGTGGTGTCCCACATGGCAAGATAAGATGCATATCTCTTCCCTTAATCAAATTTTATTTGAATTAGATGACTAAAAGAGATTTGAGGAAGGGATCATGCTAAGGTTAAGTCAAATAAGGTTGGCAGATGTGGAGTAAAAATAGGAAGAAGTTGTTGCGATGTGGGGAAAGCCAAACGTGCACAAAGAGTGGTGAGAAGTGGATTGAAAAACATGAGAAACACCTCCGACAACAAGATAAAGGCATCTCCTTCAATGGAAATCAGTTTTCCAGGCCTACCCCTCTCCGAAAAATGCTCAGCATCTTGCAATTTTAATTTCAAATTAGTTTCAATTCCAGATCAATTTAGCCAACCTTTAGCATAATTTCCAAATTGCAATTCGAAATCCAATTCTTGTACATAGTTTTGGTTTGAATCTTCTATTTTGTTGGAAGTCTGCCTAATGCAAGAATTTCCAAAACCAAGCAAATCTACAACATGTTTTCTAGACTGAAGATTGAAGCTTTGAGGCTAGAGCTTACTTTGTTTCTTGATTAGCTTTTGTTGTTTTATTCTAGTTCACTTGGTTTCTACTATAAGAGATCTGTTCTCATGTTTATATTGTAATCGTTGTAAGTTTTTAGCTTTTTTAGTCTTTTTAGGTTCTTCTCATGAGCTCAATATGTAAATCCATCAATATTAAATTTCAAATCTGATAGTGTAGTTGATTTGAATTTTGTAATTGTTTTCAAGTTATTTTAATGAAATCATGTTTTTTTATACTTCAAAACTCCTATTTTCTTCCATCTCTTCTTTATGTCTCTACTGTTTGATTTGCAAGCAAAATAATCTCATCTTAATGCAGCTTTTCTTTTGTATGTGAATTTATTTTCAGTCTACATGTATAGTTTATTAGTTTGCATAATTTTTAGTTAATATGTAGGTTTGTCATCCTTTTAGTTCAATATATGTTTTAAGTATATTCCGTGGCACTTTTTAGCTTTCGTCTATGTTTCCTTTTAGTTGTTTGTGTTTTGGTTTCCTTTCATTTTGACTTGTAGATATCATTATTATTTTAGAAATGATATATTTACAGTATCACTTTGCATCATAATTTTATCATCAAAGGTGTATCATTAAACGATTCAATAAGCGTTGAAAAAAAAAAAAAAAACTACTACTCATATGTCAAACCAACCGTGAAGAGATTCGTGTATCTCTCACATTAACATCTATTAATGAGAGAATTTAAAACTTTATACATTTTCTCATGATGCATTGAAAGCTTGAATTGAACGAAATGAGTCGATTTACTAAACAAACACATTGCACTTGTTATAAAAATATTTATGACTAATTAAAGTTAGATTTATTTTTATGTGAGTGTAATCTTTTAAATTAAAGTTTAAAGTTGAATTCTTGAAATTAATACTTAAAAAATTTTAATTTTTAATAAAAAAAAAAAACAATATAAAGAGTGTGTTTTTAGGTGGCAAAAAAAAAAAAGTGTGTTTTTTTAAGACTTTACAAGAAAAAATTAGTTTCAAAACATATAAGCTGAGATAATTTAAATTTCACAGAAACCTTACATTTTTTTTTTCAAATAGTAATGGTAGGGTTACAATTTCTTCACAAAAGAGCTTCAACCATGAATTGAATCTTTAGATTCAATGGTTCAACTTCAAACCTTAAAGTGCTTGGGTAAGGTGGTCAGAGTTTCGAACTCCATCACTGTCTTGAAAAACTCCCTTCCCTTATCTCCCAAATTGTACACTGTTCAAAAAAAAAAAAAAAAGCTTCAACCATG